TAACGAAAAGCAACCAATTGTGTGCCCGAAAATACGAAACCTAGACCGATATTTTATTTATTTTTTCAAAATGCTATATAATTTTAGTTCGCTTAGTTATTTGAATTATAAAAATGGCAGTTAAGTCGTTTTATGTCTTCAACACAATAAGTGTGCGATTTTTAGTTGTTGTGCATTATGTATGATATATTTTGAGCAAAATGAGAGAATATTATTAAGTATTTTTTTTTAAATTTCATGCTAAAGCGATTTCATTTAATTAACACGATTAAATATTATTGCCGATTTAGTTTATAATAATTAAATACTTTTCTAAAATATTTCAAACAAATTGCTATCCTAAACGTTTATTGCTTTTTATTTGCTATGTATAAGATACTTTTACTCTGGCTTTAGATTGTTTTCTATTATTAGTAATGTTAATTAATATATAGTAATTAGTATTATTAATTCGAATTGAGAAACTGAACGTTATACTTTGGAAAATTAACAACAAAATAACTATGGGTTGTTAGGTATATTTTGTTATAAAGTTAATATGAAGTTGCTTCAACATAGCTTTTTTGATCTTCATGACACAATAATAAAATCTTAAACTTAAAGTCTATATAGTCTATTTGTCGAGATGATTTATTTTTCACGCAAACACTCTAAAGATTCTGTGTTGTATCAGAATAACAATAAAGTTTGAATATCCAAGGAACAACCGATATAAAAGATTGTTCTAATTGTCGAAAGAATTGGAAGCGTTATATTTTACACAAATTAACTACATTTTACTAGATAATGATTTTTTTACCTACAAACAAAATATTGAAATAAAGTATTAATAGTGTAACAACAAAGTAATTTACAAGTTATTGGGGAAAACCTGATCGGTACTTGATCTAAAGTTGTTAACTGAATGTTTGAAGACTATTTAGCAGAAATATCGATAAATTATATAAATATTCAATTAACAACTATAGATTTATTAGTAGTTGTACCATTGATTGTAGTTACTTGAGAAAGTAATAATGATTATCGTTTGACTAAATAAGATAAAGAATTGAATAATACAGACTGGTTAATACAAAGCGTTGTTGGAAACTATTTGCGATTCGATGAATTTGATATAGTTTGACAACATGATGTCTACCTTTCGTATTCTGCACACAAATGTTAGCTTTGGTCGTCGACGTTTTGTGAGGACGGCGATGTCCGATTCGGTTCGGTCGCGTTTTTGGGGCGGTAATCGGGCAGCACAACCGATTCCGGCCGTCGATCTCCGCCTCTGATTCCGCGACCGGTCGTCCGGTTTCGCTTCGGCCGAGCGCGCGGCGAACGTGTTGCGTTGACGTTGATATTCTCTCGTTTTTTGTATTACTTTTTTAATCATTTTGTTTTTTTTTCGATATAGTTACGTAGTATGTAATTAAATAGTGATATATGTTTTGCGGGTAGTTTTGGGGTCGCGGTCCGGCCGTCGACCCCGGTGGCGGCTGGAAGCGGCTGGGGGGCGGTGCGCGCCGCCCGCACGCTCGGGTGGATATGTAACAAGGGCTAAAAGCTAATCCAACCCTAGGTAAGCTTCACACAGCCCGATATACAAGCACTTAAAACAGTGCTGACTAGAAATAGTTCGGGATTAGCACACTACACGGCGGCGTTCGACAGACACATCGCGCGTTTCCGGTTTAACGCGATGTACTCTTTTGTTTTTCTGTTTTTTGTTCCGTTAATTAATTGATTAATTAATTAAATTAATTAAACTTCTCGCATCTTCCTCCCTCGTGTCACTTTCCATCTTCGATCATCTCGCTCTTCACCACTCCTCGCTCTTCATTTCCGTCCTCTTCTTCGTCGTCGCTCGACGAACCTTTCTTTTTTTATTATAATAATTATTATGTATACTTTATTACAACGTTATTATTTCATTTTTTTGCTTGTTGCTTCTCGTTTTTTTTGCTTTGTTTGCTAGGTTTTTATATTTACTTTTTTTTTGTTTGTTTGGCAGGAATCTCTCACCCGAAAACAATCGTGATACGAAGGTACCGATTCGGAGGCGGCAGTTCAGAGAGCGTCCGGAGCACTGCGCGCAAACACTGGGACAGGGACGGCGGCGGAACAGCGCGGTACAGCCGTGGGCGCAGCGCGTCCGTCACTAAAATAAAATCATATCATTACAAATAATTACAAAAATTTATGTTTAACCAACAATAATCGGAATCAAACTAGAAGGATATAAATGATAATGTTTTGCACAATTTAGCTCTGTGGACCTGGAACCCGAGTTCACGATATTTTGGTTTTATTAGTACCATTTGATAGAGATAATTTTTGAGGTATTGCACTTTAAAGGCATACTAACCGTACTTTAAATTTTCGCCTACGTCATCAAACGTTACTAAGGATTGGTATGACGTCATATTAATGCCACAATTGACCAATTACAGTATTCCATTTACAGTTACGATAGTAGCGTATTAATGACGTAAGGCTCAATGGTGAAGAACCAACATTACCATACTAAAATCATGAGCAAAACTGTTGTATATCGTCAAACGTTTGTTATATAGGGTGAGTCAGAAAGAATGGGAAATCCGAATACCGGAGATACTAGACACCAAAATATGATGATTTAACGTAACATCTCTTATACAAATGTCAGTGGTTTTCGAGGCATACGGTGTTGAAAGTTAAATTCTTATTTCGAAATTTCTTGATAATTTTGAAGGTTTTTGTACTATTAACATAAAATTTGGTAGTTTTATGTTTTTGAGCATGAGAAATACGAATTTGAAACTTGTTTTGTTATTGCTCGTAGAGGGCACTAGATACACGCTGCTCGTTTGATAAATCAAATCATAAGTTTTTTAGCTGGACAGCTACGACCAATAAGAGCTGCAAATCACAAAGAGCATTCAATTTTACATAAAAAAGGTACTCTTATTGAAATTGTCTAAGTCTATCGGTTTTCGAATTATTTACTTTTAAATGTTTAAATGTATTTTTTCTTCTAAAATATTTATTTTTTAACATAAGCAAAGTTGGGTTATTTTTCCGCTTATGTTTCGACAATTGCCTGTTAATTGTCAACATTGATTTAATTTCCGTGTGCAATAATCATTTTTACCAACAATAAAGTTATTACCAATTTGAAAATGCCACGACATAATGAGTTTTTTAATAGTGAGAAATCCAGATTTAAGTCCACTGGATTTTTGAAAATGGTCACAATATTCTATTGTTATTAATTAATTGTT